GTCACATCGGGGCATCCTCTCGATGGAAGCACCGCAGACCCCGAGCACTATCGATACTTCTCTATAAAGCCAGCGCAAAACCGAACTTCCACTCCCAAAGTTGCTCTTTCATACAAACATGAAGTCCACTCTTTCACTCTTCGCAGCTCTTCTCGCAATCGCCCAGGTCTCATTCGCGGCGCCTCTGCTTCCAGCCTCCGATTCACTGAAGGTGAGTACCACGTCTGAATTCCTACCTTCGTTGTCACCAACAATGATGCGCACAGGTCCGCGCTGAGCCTGCTGCGGGAGGTTCGAACGACGGTCTTGTTATTGACCCTGCAGCCGACCCCATTAGCAACCCTGGACCTGTGCTTGTCGATCCTTCGGCGGACCCCACCGATCCTATGGGGGGAGTACCGGGCGATAATCCCACAACCGTCCCAGACGACAATCCTACAACCGTCCCAGACAACAATCCTACGACCGTCCCAGGCGACACTGCTGCGCACGTCCCAGATAACAATCCCGGGACGACAGATACCCCGATTATCCCAATTACCACCCCCTCAGGTCCAGGTGGGCCAGCTATTCCCGCTGCAGTCCCCGATGGGACGACGGATTCCACCACTACCCCTTGGGACCCGGCGGCACCAGGGGTTCCTGTAATGGGCCCGATTGACACCACTGGGCCGCCGGACACGAATGCGGTCCCTGCCCCCTCTTCCGGATCGACGGATGTTCCGAACGACCCGTCGAAATCGCAAGATGCTCCTGGACCGGTTCTCCCCACCAACTAGGGCGTCGGGGCGCGAGTGGGAGTGAATATTCAGAATTCAGTTGAGAGGTGAGCGGGATGGCCTTTCCTCGCGTGTGGGACACTCAATGCCTTGTTTGATTCCAACTTGTCTTTTGCAGAACTTCGAATGTAGAAGCATCCACCGTCTCCTAGTCATCCGTAATGATCTTGGTCGATTGATACCTATCTACCATATACATTGTGAAATTGTTATATCTGCTCTTGATTTGAGTAGCGATGCTGTCTCCCAGGAGCCTGCGAGGAAAACACAGCGGCGCTCTTTCACCCCACACGTTCCATGACTTTTTTTGCTGGGAGGGTGATCGTACGGCGTTCCTACGCATGAATCTGGGTTGATTGAGTTGATACACAACTCCTGCCCAGTACCATTGGAGCCTATCTTCTCTGACACTACTTACTCACTGCGGTAAATTCGATACATGTGCTCAACCCTGTCTGACGCCCCGAAGGTTGACATTTACACGTAGGATCAATCTGCCTCCAGGCGCTCTAGCTCGTTTCGGCATGGTTGCATGGAACCCTTCAACCACTAGGATCATTCCCTATGTCATATTTTCCGCTCCATGTGTTCGCTCGCTTCAGCATCTTCGCCCGAACAGCGTCCGCGACGTCGTATTAAAGCCAGCCACTATCTAACGATCATGTAACCCGGCTTCAGAAGTCGCTCCTTGCTATAGACATGAAGTTTACTCTTCCACTCTTTGTCGCTCTCTTTTCAATCGCCCAGATATCGTTTGCGGTGCCCCTCCTCGAGTCAGAGGGCTTGGGATTAGTTAAGGTGAGGTTACCTATGCCGTAGGCTCTCCTCCTTTCCCAGTTTTGATTTTGCGACAGCGTGTTGCAGACGAGTCTGTGTATAGCGAGTGTAACATAGGCTCGGTTCATCACCCTTGGTACGTCTCTCCATTCGGCGGGGTAGTGAAGTGGATCCTGACGTGATCCTTTTCAGCGGGCAAAGGCTTCCGGAGTCGAGGGAGGAGAGGGCTCTGGAGCAACGGGAGCCTCAGGAAAAGAAGGGACCTGATTTTGCGAAGTTGGCAGAGATGATAAAAAAGGCGATGAGTAAGAAGAAGGAGTGAATAGGCTGACCAGTGAAGCAGCAATAGAGGATAGACGAGACTTGGGTCGGCTCTTCTAGACATCTCGATCAGGTCAACCGCTGCAACATGAACTTTAGGGGATTTTTGCTGGCCGCAAGACGGGGATTAGAGCATTCAAATCATAGGTCAAGATGCAGCTTCCGGATCAAAGCATTCTCATGAAATCGTACACGACGGGTAATAGTGATATAACAAGCTGCGATTTGCCGTGAGCGCCAGCGTTGGACCGCACAACTGTCAGTCAGGGAATGCCAGCGCAGACATTATCGGGGGTGAGAGTGGATGGACAGTATATCCATGTGCAAGAGACAGACCCGTAAGCGTCGCGAGCGCCGAACTTGACGCGGACGTGATTGAGCGGCAACGATTGAATGGAACGGCGGAGAAACGCACATGGCGATGTTTTGACGTGTTTGTTTGAAAAGATTTATATTGCCACGTATTGCCACGTATTCCTTACGACCGCCCACGTACTCGTCCTGCGCTCCGCAGTATTCTCATTCCCTCAAGACCCTCCACGACACCCCATCTCTGCCAACAATGCACCACTTTATTGACCCAGCATCCCTCTCACCAGCACCCGAGTCAGAAGCGGGCTCTCCTTCCCCCTCTGCCTCTGGATCTAACCCCCGCAAACGGCCCCGTACCGAAACTACTTCGGAGGAACGCAAGGAGGCCCGTGCGCACAGAAACCGTATCGCCGCCCAGAACTCACGAGACCGCCGCAAGGCCCAGTACTCGTACCTCGAACGCAGAGTAGCCGAGCTCGAAGAGGAGAACCGAGCTCTCCGCTCTGCCCGAGGCGTCCCTCTCCTCCCCATCTCTGCCTCCACTTCTTTCAAGGCAGAAGAGGAGCACAAGCGCCTGGAAACTAGCGCACGGGAGCGCGAGAATGAGGAGCTCAAAGAGCGCATCAAGACGCTTGAACGCGGCTGGGACACCGTCATCAAAGCCCTCGCCGCCCAAGGTGTACCTCTCGCCGCTCCCGCACCCCCCACACCAACATCAACAGTAGCACCTCCCCCTATTTATCCCATCTCTCCCGCCCCCTCCCACTCTTCCCTCGATTTTTCACCCTCATCCTCGTCATCCCCCTCCGCCCTCCCTCTCGACACTCCCTCATCCTCTGAGCAACAGCAAGAGTCCACTCGCCACCTAGCACGGGTGGCGACCATCGACGCCCAGCGTCGGATGTCCCTGCAGCGGGTGGACTCGATCTCGACCTCAGTCTCCTATTCCCCGGCACCTCAGCCACCACATCTTCTCCAAACCCGCATCCCACTACTAGCCATCCAAGCACGACAACTACGACCGAACCAGACGATGCCACCATGGAAAACCTCTTCATGGAGATCCTCGCCTCGCCCCTCCCTGCTCCTGCGCCCCCGTGTCCTGCTGCAGCGACCGCATGTCGGTCTGCCGCGCAAGCGTCCGGGGAGCACGCGACATCGGCTGAGGGTGCTCAGGCGGAAGTAGTCGACGTTTCTGATGGTGCGGCGGGGCTGGGGTTGAGTGGCGTGGAGATGATGGATTTGGGCATGGGAGCGGGTATGGGTGTGGGCGTGGGGATGGACGGCGCGGGTGTGGATCTTGGCCTTGGGATGAGCAGTGATTGGGATGGTGGATTGGATATGCAGCGGATCCTCGACTCGCTCGGTGTGCCAGGCGAGTATGAGTCGCAGGAGCAGCAAGGGATGTCGGAGCTGGAGCTGGATATGGGTTGGGGGTATGACAATGTGGAGGGCTTGGGTGTCGGCGTGTTTTAGGTGGAGGGCTTGAAGAGTCTTTCCCTACTCGCCGTGTATACACACTCTATTGAAGACGGACGTCGCGGACGAACAAGCATTGTGGGGCACTCCGCGCTAGACACGCGCTCCACTTTCGTCTGCAAACCACACCCAACGACAATCATCTCGGGCCTCGTCGACGTCTTCCTCTCCTCCCTCAATTGGTCAATCTGCACCCTCTGCTACCAAATTGGCTCTCTGGCGACACTTCGCATTGTATCATCTCCAAAAGCATCATAACTTAACATTCCACTCTCAAACTCGGGCTCTCAGGTTTCGCTCTCACTCTCGTCTATCTATTCTTTCCGTCCTATCTATTATCAACGTCCTCCTTTCCCTCTCCTTTTTTTTCAATCACAGGACTATCTACGCATACATTACCACCCCACACTCACTCTTCCGCGCATACATACGGTACTTACCTTATCCACCACCCTCTACGTGAGGACACTCCGCGGGATCGTTCATATCCCGCTCCGCCGCTTCTTACCTATCATTTCTTCCCTTTCCTACCTCCTCCTTCACTCCCACCCCTACTACGCGCACAGGTGAATTCTCTGCTCCTCTTCGGGGTTGAGTAGAGGGCGCTTGTTGCGCTGTGATCGTGGTTGTGGTTGTGGGCTGGTTTTTTGGGTTGGGGATGGGTTGGAGTACCATGCGGCGCGATGTGTTCGTTGTGTAGTTACTTTTGGTATTGGGGATATGTATGTATGTACTTTGGTGTGGTGGGAGGAGGAGGAGGGGATGGGAAATGTTTATGTGATTTGGACCTGTGATAGTGATAGTGATAGTGATATTACCCACGGGTGGTCCCGACAAGGAACAAGTGGGGTCTCCGTACTACGTACATGGCATCAATGTACGCTACGGACGCAAGTCTACCATAGCCGCTGTGATGTACGGAATCTCACGGGTTAGTTAGACCATACGGGAGGTTCTGAGACAGGTGCTAGGGTAAGGAGTAAGATGGTGACGTTATGCAGCAGGTGGAGTTGAAAAATGTCGTTGGATTCTACATACCCACAGGCAATGCAGCGGAAGTTGGGATGAGAAGGGGCACGCTATCGAATATGGTAAAAATGTCGTAAATGTAAGACGCCAGCAAGGGGCATATCTCAGGGTCGTTTATCATCAGGTTGATGAAGGAGATCGCAGGGGATGAGCGATAAACGTTCCATATGTTGGTGTGAAGCCGTTCGATGAGCTTGAGCCTTGGAATCGAAGACTGAAGTGGGATTCTGAAGACACGGTAGGGTAACTGGGGTGATGGAACAGAACATGCGTGAAAAAGTTGACATCATGGTGTGGCTCTATCTCCCTGTCTGGGAGTCGAACCCAGCTCTCGCGCGTAAATTCTTACTGAACGTGATGACAGGCGCGTGTACTGAACCGATATACTAACAAGGAGTTGTGGGTTGGTGATGGTGGGGGGTTGTGGGACTTGGGAATTGGTGGTCTTTGGCATTTGATGATCTTGAAAAGGATTACGGCGAAAGGGAAGGTAGAGTCGAAGAGATGGGGCGATGTGCTAAGGAGGAGGAGGAGCAGTCATGATGTGCAACTTGATGGGTGGGGGCTAGGTTGGTGTTTGGGATCGGGTGTGAATGCATCTGGGCTACCCTACAGTAAGGACTGGTGACGTGATCGATTTCGCTACTGACACAGAATCTCGGCGACATTCCTAAAACGACGAAAAGAACTGTGAGGACAGTGTTTGAGTCGGGTTGGCGCCATCAAGACATAAACTTCACGAGGGCGGTCGACTCAGCATCATGCTTCGGACTCAGATTGCTCTTTCACAGGGTATGTATTAGGTGGGTATTAACGAAAACGATAAACATCAGGCGGGACGTCGCCCTATTACTCTAACTAGAAAGTCATGGTCAGGGTACTGCGGGACATAGTATTGTCTGACATTTGACGTACGCTTTTTCCTTTCAACACATGCGCTTGAACCTTACCTGCATCGACAAGGCTTTTGCCCTTCTTTCTGAGAGAAATGTCATTCTTCTCGACGTGTGCGATACTCCCCTAGAAGCACTGTGGTCAGGGCACGCATAACACAAACACATCGCCGGTTTGTCACGTACATCTTTGCCAACTGTTAATCTATCGTGGTGCACATCGGCAAGGCCGTGGCCCTTCTGAGCGACAAAGACCTTTGTGGGTCCGACCGGTGCGATATCACCCTAGGGTGTGGTCAGGACACGTATAGGACATCGTCGTTGTTCACCCTACCTACCTTGTCAACTTTCACGCCTTCTGTATCGACGCGAGCAAGACCTTCCCCCTTCTTGGCTACGCTGACGTGTGTCGGTTTTACTTTGACTATGTTGCCATTTTCCCCGACGTCCGCTTTCGTGATGTCGCTGCGCAATTATGGTGTTAGTGGGCTTCGGCACTTGACGGCTCGTTGGCTTGGACGTACGCATCCAGAAGGGCGCGGGCTGTAACCGCGTCCGGGGACCTTAGAGTAGACTCGAGCTCTGAACCTGGGAGGGGCAGAGCGAGGGAGAGGTGGGCGAGTGAGAGGAGGGTGGCGAAGAGGGGGAGGGTGATCTTCATTTTTGGGAGGAGGGATGAGTTGAGCTGGGGGCGATGGTGCTGGAGTATCTTCTTGTTCTTGTCAGTTTTATGGACTTGCGGTGTGTGTTATTCGGAAGAAGAGATTGGAAATCTGAGGCGCCACATTACTGCAGGTAATTGGCTCTTGACCTTTAAGCGCTACTCGGAACGATATTTCCTGAATAGCTGTCATGATTTTGACTTTTGAGGCTAGTGCGCAATAACAATTTTGAGGAACCGAATAGAACAGCAGCAGGACCGTGGCTAAGCCGATATCAGCAGCGAATATGGTGTGGAAAAGTATGACCTACGTTGTGAACCGGAATTGGCCGTATATCTTCTGGTTTGCGCCTCAGCTAAGGACGGTATCTTGACAAACAAGACAATCGAAATGCACGCATCTTCGACCCCCTGTGGATAGTCACTATGAGGGTAGTCGAAATGCACCTGCCCACGACTCCTGAGGATGTGTATCATGTTTGATTTTCCCGCATGTGGAGTGTAAGTTTGTGATCGAAGCATTGTGGTGGTAGAAGGAGGACAATGTTGACAATGCGAACAGACGAAGACATCGAGGGCTAAATCTGTGCGGACACAGCTTGTCGAACAGACTGGAAAACATATACATCTCGCTGGTGCTGCTAGTGGTACTTCGGGAGCAGAACTTGGCGAACATAAATATTAATGAAAACGACGAAAGAGGTGTAAAATAATAGAGTAAGATACAAATTTCCGAACTCACGACGGCCGTTCACTGGTCGGTCGACTCGTTGTTGACGCACCCTCCACAAGCTGCTCGCCTCCGACTGCCTTCGCCTCTGCCTCCCATTCCGTCACTTTCTGCGCTACTATCTCCGATTCCGTCTCGCTCTCCGCCTTCTTTCGCGTCAGCGCCGAAGGCCACGACAAAAGCCGCCGCTTCTCCGGCTGAGGCGCGATCTGTGAGGCGGTATATTCTCGACCGAGCCTCAGGAGGTGCTCCGGGCTTAGTCCGCGCGCGTCTCGGAAGGGGCCCAGGGCTGCTTGCGCTTCTTTGCGGCTGAGTCTCACGGCAGAGGAGACATATGGTTTTAGCTGTAATGGGAGAGAGAACTTTGGTGAGAAGGTGGGAGAGGCAGGCATAAACGGACGAAGACGCACTGGTGAGGAGAGAAGCTCTTCGAGGGGCGGCGCGACGAAGACACGTACTTTGTCGTCGAGGAGGCGGTACTTCGCCTTGCCCCCGATGACATGTTTACCGGGCGCGCCTGTGCGCAGGCCACCTGGGAGGAAGGCTTGCCGTGTGCCTGTCATGTTGCTCGGTCAGTGCTCAACACATGTAGATGGGATAGCTTGTCGAAACGCACCCTTGTAATAATCCTTGTTTCCCCGTTTCGTGGTAAGGGGCCTCCGCGAGGCCTTGGAAAGTCGGGCGACAGTGGGGAACATCAAGGTATGTGAGCCTGAGGATGGTCGCCGTCACTGTCAAAAAAGTTATCCTATGTCTAGCAATATTCCCACGTCTCTTTCCGCCTCCTCGCTGTTCACGATCACGATCACGGCCACCCTTACGCTTCGCACTCGACTTCAATGGCGAAGAAAAATAGAGATGAGGTCCCCACGGCGAATAGTGTAGCCAATCGTGATATCATCCAACGCCTTAATTTCCTCTATCAGGCCAGTGTGTATCTCAACACCGTTCCATCCCAGCAGCAAAGTTCTTCAACCGCATCAAGTGCGGTACCCATTCCAAGTACCACCCCAAATGCTGTCTCCGATGGTACCACCCGCGAAAAAAAGGAGGGAAAGAAGCCAAAGAAACGAGCGAACGCTGCGAAACGTGCAGTGACGGCGAGCGATCTCGCTAGAACGTATATCGCGACTATGAAGATCGTTGGTCAGAAGACCACTGTTAAGATGTACGCGGTCGTTCCCTACCCTCCTCTGCTCGCGCATACAATTTTCGATACAGTGATCCTGCTGTGAAACGCACATTATGCAAAGGATGCAACATGACTCTGATTCCAGGCACGACCGCCTCAATACGCGTCAAAAGTACGCCCTTTGCTGATGCTTTCCCTGCTTTATTGATATACTGTCTACAGAATCGTCTGCACACGGGCATATCATGGTCTACACTTGCACCGCTTGCAACACATCCCTGCGCATCCCCGCACCACCCACACCTCGTGTAGAGGATTCCCCGTCTCCGCTCATATCTACAGTCGCTCCGCCCGCACCTATATCCGCTGCCTCCCTAGGGGTACCCGCCATCCCGATAGAAGAGACTATGGATGTCGAGCCCGTGCTGGGGACCGAAGCTGCAGGTGGCGCAACAAGAGGAAGAGGTAAACGGAAGAGGGTCCAGCCACGCCTACCTCCTCTGTTCGCGCGCGACGTGGGCCATGTCGTATATTGTGGGAATGAGCGACTGGTGGATGAGGGGCATGGGGATGGGGTGTATATCACTTAGCCATACGGGCAGTTTGGGGGCCTTAATCCTTCCAGGTAGCTATCTCAGAACATCTCGACAAATGATTAAGCGGCTGACCATCCTTCTAGGGGAGAAGGTCTTGATATTCGCGCTAGGATTGTCAGCCGCGCGCCTTATTCTGGAGAGGCTCATACGCAAGCAGATCAGTCCTAGATACGCTGTCGGGCTGCCGCATCGCTACAAAGAGGAGGCAGACGTTGCAGGTTCATCCGGGAGGGGGGGGTCGATTGCGGTACCAGGTCGGTGCATCCCAGAAGCAAGAGCTGTCAAAAGTTGCCGCGGTCCATATGCTTTGGCGCCCAACAAACAAGCAGTTCGTGGGAGCAGCATCACAACACATCGGAGACCCATCGCGTTGTCATTCGGGGCGATGATAGATATTACATCTAATCAAATTCGGTTTCGATCATCGTATACATTAGCCCCTAGCTAATACCGTTCATTGACATGAAAGCTTTGAAGGTCATCATCATCATTCGTCCAATGTCCACGCGTTCTCTTTGATAAGTTTCTCCCGCTCGAGCAGATACTTCCCTACACGACAGCGATGTCTTTTAGAAAGAGAACCACGATCAGTAAGGATGTATGCCGGACGTACCCTCCTTGTATTTCTGCCCAGCGTCGCTTGCCTTGTGGTAGAACCACCCAATACGGTCGTTGCACCCAAGACAGAATACGTCAGCAACAGTATGCACGCCCGTCCTATAAGGCTTCAGCGACGTGTTTCAGGCGGGAAGACGGGGAAGACAGACGTACAGCAGCGGGCGTTCTTCGCGTTTTCCAAGCTTGATGTTCTCCGCCGAGTTCATTAGACTGGAATGAATAAAAAACGGCTAGAATTAGAAAGGCATCTCAGTAATCCAAGCGACTTACTACCCGCGCCCATCCCTTCCCGAGAAGGCTTTACTGATGAGTTCGTCTTGAAGCGCCTGCAACCATCCAAAAGTTTTATTATCAGCACCTCATAAGAAAACTTCGATACGCACAATAGTAGCTGCGCACTTCGCGCACGAGAAGGAGGGTCGGCCGGCGTACGTCTGCACGACTTGGGGGCTACGGCTGCTGGAGGACCTTGGGGATGTCATGGCAATTTGAGTACTATTGAGGGCTATCCAGCGTTTAAAGGCGTCCGACAAGCTACATTCCACATGTGCAATAACTGGCAGGCAGACGGCCGTAGCTCTCCAAACTCGTCCTCGGCTCGGATATAACGGGAGATGGAAGAGTTGCACTAAGAATGGGGTTAGGGTTTCATAATTGATCTCGGGTTCGACGTGTAAGCCATTCCGCTCATTGCAATGCACAATGACGACCTCCCGCACGAGGTGATCCTCGCCATACAACGGGTCCTCGAGGTCCGCGCCGATAA